AGGCTCCCGCAAGAAGCGCCCAAATCTCCAACCCAAGGGATTCGAGACACCTGAAGCCCAGATCAGATATTACCTGAGATCAGATCGCGCCGCTCGACGCCTTGGAACCCGACGTTCGCCCAGCGCAGGCAACCCTGCTCTGAATACGGGCCATCTTTTCCCCCCTCGTCGTTTCTTTTTTTTCTTTCCTTTTTTTCCCATCATTTGCTTATTGCCCCTTCGCTGTGGCTGATGAGCGACGCGGTGCCCGGCGGTCCATGTACAGTACGAGTACACGCTGCTAGTACCACCCATCGCTGTGCTGCCCAGTACCTGTGCCGTAGCCAATATGACGGAGACTGCTAGCTTCACAGCGGCTCGTTACGCCAGTTCCACAGCCGCCAGCCTCCCAGGCAAAACACTCGCAGCGCCTCCCGCCTCCATCACCGGCCCCTCGTCGAACCTGCACTCGCATCGCCAGAGCCACAATTCCTCCAAGCTGCCGTCCTTTCGCTTTGCTGACATCAAGAACGCTCCCGCTGCCGCGACTCCCCAGGCCGCCAAGCAGCCGCTCCCGCTGTCCCCCCGACGCCTCACAGCCCCTGTTGGCTCGATCGATTCGCAGCTCGACCGACGAGACTCCAAGACGCGATCCGCCGCCGCGACAAAGGTTCTGACGCCTTCCGCTTCTGCGCGCAATCGCCAGTCGCTGCCCGCGTCCCTCAAGACTGTGGAAACGCTCGTGTCGCCGCCGCGCCCGAACCTGCGCCCTCGAGCCTCGTACCAGATTAAGCCCTCAATCGTCGAGCAGGAACGGAGAGTCAGGCGCCCCGTGTCGTTTCCCGACGGCCTCGCCGAAGAAGCTTCACAGTCGACAAAGGCCTCGAGTGTCGCGCGCTCTTCTTCTGTGAAGCAGAGCGCTCGCCGTTTACCGGCATCCCGCAGCTCAAACGCCAACGGCAGAGTGACGCCCGACGGCCCGCGAACGTCACTCAGCGCTCGCCATCCCGCCATCGAAGAAGCAGTCTCTCCCACCTCTCGAGTTGTCCCGGAGCCAAAGCCAGGCATCAAGGTACGGGCTCGGACTCTGCCGGATCTGCCATCCTACAAACCGCCGTCCTCGTCGGGCCCTTCAGATGAAAACCAGGACCAGTCGCTGCAACGCCCACCTGTCTCTTATAAGCCGCCGGTAAACGGCGCCACTGCCGGCCAGCCTACAGCTTCAACTGCTGTTCGCGTTCCGCCCATTCGAGCTTTCCGATCTTCGGGCTCTCGCAAGAGCTCGGTAGACGACGATATGAACTACAACTCTCGCTCCTACGACGTGGAAGATCGTTACATCGATTCAACCGACGACCACACTCTCCGCGCTCTCGATGGCGACTTTTTTGATCAGAGGAGCCCTCCCAGGCACGGCACCAACGGCGATGACACGGGTGACGTTTTCTTAAAGATTGCCTCTGAAGAGGCAGCGCGCAATGCAAGAGCCGATAGTGTCAATGACAGCAAAACTACTTCGGTAAGTAATGGCAGAGGAAGGGGAGACATATGAATAGAAAATCTCGTCTTGAATACCTTGGGGATCTAATTCGTTACTATTAGCAGTATCAGGTCAATCGCACTACGCAGCGCCGCCCGCTTTCTCAAAACGTCTCTTCTTATTACCCCATGTCCCCTCCATCAGTAAACCGCAGGCTCTCTGACCAGCAGGATCAAAACCGAAGCCGCTCAGTTAGATATGAAGATGAGCTGACGAGCGAGATCGCGCGGACCACCAGCGCCTACCGCAGCCAGCTGCTCAGAGACAAAGCCGCATCCTCTCGTCCCACCGAAGACACCTCTTCAAGATCGAATGGCTTAGGTCTACGACCCTCGCTCATGACTCCCCGAAATGCAGGCTTCCAGGACCAGGCTGCGGAATCTTCCTATAGCCGAAGACGGTCGTTAGTGGTTGACGCCCCGGCCTCTAGCCCGGCGCGCTCATCCTCCCACAAGGCTACTGTGCTGGTTCAAGCTCAGAACAAGGCTTACAATCCATCACCTCTTACGCGTTCTTTCGAGATAGAAGAGGAGGACGACGACGACGACCCCGAAGCTGGCAATCTGGCTGAGGGAACCGAATCGACTACATCTACCAATGCGCCATCTACTGTCTGGGACGAGCTGGACGAGCTGAAATCGCGAATCCATCGTCTGGAGTTGACAGGGAAGCTGCCGCCCACCTCCGCAGCCGCGTTGATCAAAGCATCGGAGGAGAGACCGCCGACAGCAACGACAACCGTTACGACCATGTCGATATCCCCTAAGAAATCGGCAGCCGGGCAGCAGACAGATGCCGGTAGCAGTACGTCGTCACAGCGAGAGGCACACTCGAACCTGCACTCGGCTCTCACCAAGATCAAGACGATCCTCAGCCCAGAAGTGTATCGCGCGCTTGAAACCGCGGCGAACGATGCCCTTGCGTTGTCGTCCATGATGGGCACGCCTGGCCAGCCTGGTCCTATATCAGGTTCTGCCAGCGTAGTCGGCGGCGGCGGCGGCGGTCCTGCAGTTACAGATCGTCAGCTCCGCCGCAGGACGGACAGCGTCTGCCGCAGCCTAACTGAGCTTTGCATCGCCCTTGGCGAGGGGAACGCCCCTCGGCCTGCACCAGCAATCATTCCGCAAGTCGTGACGACGCAGATCAGCCCGAACCAGAACCACAATGCTCACCTGGAGCCACCTAGAACCCCAACCATGATGAACAGCAAGACTTATTCGGTTTCTCGCCGCTCCAGCGTCGCGCCGCCCGAGCAAGCCACCCAAATCATCACTAGCCCTAGAGCCATGTCCAAGTTTGAGGAGCGAAGGAACATGATTTTGAACGGCAGTCTGGTGACTAGCCCCCGGATTTCAGCTTCCACTCCGACAACTCCCAACGAATCTATTGCTCGTAGAGCGTCACTTATTGTGTCACGTGCTCGCAGAGCAGTAACAGAGGAACCGGAGGATGGTAGACGCTCCTCTGCGCTTTTGCGTCGACGGGCGGCCGGTGATGAATCTGACGATGGCGGCCGAAGAACTTCATTCCTTGTCCGTAACCGTCGAGGAACCGTCGGCGAAGAAGACGAGGGATCCAGATTCCGGGCTCCCTCCCGAGCCATTACCGAAGTGAGCGGCGGATCTAGGGGGGCTACGAAAGAATACCTACGTGTCTCCGAGCGTGCTTCCGAGCGTGTCTCAGAAGCCCCGACTCCCCTACCGGAAGCCGACACACCACAACCGCCCTCAGCCCTCAGCCGACGACGATTCATATCCTCGAACACGCAGCCTTCTCGCCTAACCGTTCCGACTACTTCTAGCACGCCCTCGACCAGAAAGTTTCTAGAGAGGTCGATACCAGACGGAGTTGAGAGCAGCTCTGAGAGACCTGCCGGAAACCGGCTTTCACGACATCTCTCGGTTCAGCACGACTCGGACCGCACCTCCACCTATCATTCATTACAGAATCGAACTAGCAGCCTGCAAATCCGTCGAGCAAATCGGGACAGCATGGCTATCCCGGCCTCTTCGACCACAGCCACAAATGGCTTGAGATGACCTTAAACGACAACAAACACGTTTAGATTCATGATCTGTACCATACATAATCTTTGTTTTTTTTTTTTAAACAAAACTCATTTGCGAGCGTTTTATTCTTACTTATTTTTAGTTTTCCGTCATTTTTTGTTCACTCACTCTCTCTCTCTCTCTCTCTCTCTCTTACTGTCTCACCGTGTGTCTCTCATTCTCTCATATCTTGTCACTCTCTCATATTTCCTTTATTGTTCCAATCAGCAATCAGCATACATGCCACACCATTTCCTTCTAGAACCAACTGGCTTGACGACCTAACGACGGACGGCCTGCTCGACTTCCTTCACGGAGCCAAATTTCTCTTTGTTTTCCATTCTGATCTTTTTTTCCATTCAAAACATGTGTATTACCTGGTCTTGTTTTTTTATTTGAGCATACAAAAAGCTTTTGTTTCTTTTCTTGCGGGGGGGTTTGGTGTGCTGTGGCCTCGACCACACAATTTTTGTCCCAGGCGAAGAGAGGAGTTTGATTGATTGATTGGTTGATTTTTTATTAAACAGTGTTTACTTTTATTCTAAAGTAGTGAATTGGTTGAAAGGCAGGCCGTGAAGTCTTATTGGGAAAAGGGGGCGGGCGCAGAGTTACAATACCTCTTTTTTTTTTGGCTCTTTTTGTCTTGTGTGGTTACCTACCTTGGTTCGGTTTTTTTTTCGGGAGCGAGCAAAATATAGCATCAATGTGTGTGCAAATTTCTTAATAAGAATTCGTTTTTATCTAACTGCGAACCATTATGATTATCTTGTGGTTTTTGGGTTCCTTTTTGGACTTTGTGATACCTTGGAATAGATGGATAGCTGCTGCGGCCATTAAACTGACGTGCCGTGCTGCCCTTCTGTGCCACCTCACCCTGGATAGACTTGAAGTGCCAATAAGAAACAGTCGGTATTGCCATCCCAGCATGGAGTTGGACCCAAGACTGGCTCAATGTAGTCATGATAGACTCGTGCTTGCTGCCAGGTATTATCTCATAATGTCTGAGATGCCAGCCACCTGGAGACATGTCTCATAGCCGTAGTAATATCAGGGGACATTTCATGTCATAGATATCCCTACGTGTCTCATGGATAGTCTCCGAGATAGTCAAGTCTTAATACTAGGTACATACTACATATACTTGATCAACGGCTGAGATACGGTCAGATGATGTGTGATTGCCAGGGATGAGCTTGGCCGAGACAACAAGCCAAGACGAATCTTAGTATTGCCTGCTTTGATGAAGACGTAATCTGAGCTGCTGGCTTCGAATTCGGCGTAAGTGATTTGCATGGCTCTGGCTATATAAGATGGACCTTTTGTCCTCTAGGTAGTCAAAAACTTCCACCTCTATAGAGCCTATAGTTCTGCTGTTAAGACCAAGATACACGCAAGGTTTTCTCAGTCTCTGTTCTTTTTCTTCTCTAGCCAAAATGAAAAAAGCTATTACTTGGACGACTTTGGCCTTGAGCTTGCTGCCAATCCCCGTGGCTGCTCAAGGCCAAGTCAATGTCACCATTCCCTCCGGCACCATTATCGGCAGCTCAGTTGACGATGTCGACATTTTCAGCGGAATTCCTTTCGCCGATCCGCCGATTGGTGAATTGCGATTCAAGCCACCGCAATCTTTGTCAACTCACCTTGGGGATTTTGACGCCACAAAGAAAGCCAAGCTGTGCTCCCAAGGACGCATCCTCAGTGCCCCGTCCAGCTCTCAGGCGACACTTCTTGCCCTAGAAGCCGAGAGGGAGTCGTTCGGTAACCCAGTGCCTCCGGAGAACGAATCCGAGGACTGCTTGACCGTCACTGTCCATCGACCTGCAGGCACCGAAGCTGGCGATGACCTGCCGGTGCTCTTCTACATATTCGGAGGAGGCTTTGTGATTGGAGGCACATCGGCGATAGTCAATGATCCCACCGTGTTTGTTCAGACCGGCATCGACCTCGGAAAACCCTTCATCTTTGCAGCTGTCAACTATCGCGTTGGAGGCTGGGGCTTCATGCCAGGAGCTGAAATCTTGCGTGATGGAAGCGCCAATGCTGGTCTTCTCGATCAGCGCAAGGGCCTTGAATGGGTAGCTGACAACATTGCTGCTTTTGGCGGCGATCCGTCCAAGGTTACCATCTGGGGACAGTCTTCTGGCTCAATCTCCGTCTTTGACCAGCTGGTTCTCTACGACGGCGACAACACGTACAATGGCAATCCTCTCTTCCGCGCCGCAATCATGAATTCGGGGTCCGTCACTCCTGTCGACCCTATGGATTCTGACAAAGCCCAAGCGGTGTATGAGCACGTTGTCAGAGAGGCCAATTGCGAAGGCGACGATTCTTTGGGTTGTCTTAGGGGACTGTCCAACGAGGATTTCACGGCGGCGGCTAATTCGATTCCTGGCCTGTTATCGTACGAGTCCTTGGCCCTCTCCTATCTCCCTAGACCAGATGGCAGTGTCTTGACATCGAGTCCTCATGTCCTGGCGCGACAAGGCAAGTTCCCTGCGGTACCGATGATTTTCGGCACGCAGGAAGACGAGGGAACTCTGTTCAGCTTCTTCCAGGGGGACATGGGCTCTACAGACATCATCACCGACTACCTCGACCGTCTCTACTTCCCCAATGCCGATCGGAGCCTGGTCAAGTCGTTTGTCGAGACTTACAGCGAACGACTTGAAGACGGAAGCCCGTATCGCACAGGTACTTATGGAGGCTTGTTCCCTTACCCAGGCAAAAAGAGAATCGCCTCTATCCTGGGCGACATCGTCTTCACCCTGGTCCGACGCTGGACGCTGGAGACCATTGCCGCAGTCTCCCCAGAGACGGCTCTTTGGTCGTCGTTTGCTTCGTACAACTACAAGAAGGACTTTCTCGGGACGAAACATGGGTCAGATACGGACGTCTTCTTTACTCGCAACAACAGCCACTTCCCCTCGATTAGCGGGCGGACGTATTACATCAACTTCGCGTATAATGGGGATCCCAACGAGGGGCTTGATGTAAATGTCACTTGGCCGGGATGGAAGGAAGATGGGCAGCTTTTGTGGTACAATGCGACGCAGAATGGGTATTTGGCGGATGATTTCAGGAACGGCAGCTACAACTTTATCAAGGAGCATATCGATTCACTCATCTTTTAGGGCTTGTGTTGTTTGATGGGAGAAGAAGAGGATAGAGCTTGCTTTTCTCACTCATATTTATACGACCAAGTGCTGTTGCCCAGAGCTTCTAATGAATATGGGGGGTGTGAGGTTCGAATGTCGGAACAGAATGCGATGAGAAGCCTTTTTTATTTTGTTGCCTCCAGCACTCACCACCCATGTAATGTAGCTTTTGAAATATGAAACACTGGATACTTGCAAGTATTTCCTATGAATACAACGTCGGATGTGAAATGCTATTTTGCTGGGGCGGACTTTATGATCAACAGTGCGATGCTTTGACACGACAATATAGAAAACCTAAGATTATGCTAACAAGTGCATGCCATCAACCGATGGTGAGGCTATGCTGTGGTGATGAGAAATCCGCAAGGCAGTTTGAATCCATTCAATTCATAGGCAGTAGCTGGAGGTGGCGATGAGCCTTGCTGAGTCACGCCGATTTTTGTTAGGACTTCCCTTCAACATGTCATGTCGCACCGAAACTTGCTACATTTGCCTGATTCATTTAAAAAAACGAATGAGCATCCGTTCTGGATATTTATTTGCAGAGGTCGCTGGCAGATTTGGTTTTGCATCTCACCGTCGCTTTCACCTCAAACAACATCCCGGGTCGCTTCCTAGCCTGATAGCGGCAAAATCTCATATTCAAGCTTTTGCTGCCTGCAGGAGCCTCCGCCCTCTCACACCAACATCTCACAAACCAACGCCAAAAGGAGCCCTTTTCCACAGCACAGCGAGGATGAGCGCTCTCGAGGAAGACGGCTCGAGCATCTCCGCTCAGATAGTCATCGAGGACAAGCTCGCAGGCGGAAGGAAGCCAAGGGGAGGCGGCCGAGGAGGCAGAGGCGGAGGCGGCGGTGGCCAGAGCAGAGAAGTGCTGGTGTCGAAGACGCTGTCGAAGCTGTTGAGGCATCAGGCTGGGAATGCCGGCATCAAGCTTGACGCGGAGGGTTTTGCAGCTCTTGATGAGGTGGTGAGTTTTCATTATGATTTCCACCGTTTTCAATCTTGAAATGGCTTCTAATTACAGCTTCCACAGCTCAACTATGGTCCCATCCGGTCTCTCAACGTCACCGTTGCCGAAATCAAGCAAGTCGTTGCCTCAAACGAAAAGCAGCGCTTTACCATGAAACTGAACTCATCACTCACCGCCGAACTCGTTCCCTCAGAAGACAGCACGGCTCCATCTCACTACCTCATCCGCGCCAACCAAGGCCACTCCATCAAGATGGAATCCGCCGCCCTTCTCGAACCCATCACCCTCGACGCCGGGAATGTGCCGTCGAGGGTTCTTCACGGAACTTACTTTGCGTTTTGGCCTGCCATTGAAGAGTCTGGAGGCCTAAAGGTCATGGGAAGAAATCATATCCACTGCTCAACGGGAACGCCAGAGGAGGGTGTCATGAGCGGCATGAGGAAGGACGCGGAGTTGGCGATTGAGATTGATGTGGAAAAGAGTCTGCAGGATGGCATTCAGTGGTGGAAGAGCGACAATGGAGTATTGCTGACCGAGGGCGGAGAGGGAGGCGTTTTAAGCACGTGCTACTTCAAGAAGGTTACGGGGCGGAATATCGATGTCGGTGTGCTTTGGGAGGATGGGGAGAGATTGTCGGGCCTTCCTGAGGGGATCAAGGGAAAAGTTCCGCCGGGTAAGGGGCCGAGAGGGGGGAACAAGAGAGGAGGTGGAGGACGAGGGCGAGGACGGCAATGAGAAAACAAGAACGACTAAGCAATCAGCTTAAGAGAAGAAAAAAAAACAATATTAAAGAATGAAAAAGAAATAGCATCAATGGTATCCTAAAAACGATTGCTTAATGCGAGTGCTATACAAAAGGAGTCATGTTAACCCAACACCGGCTTCCAGCCAACTTTCATAGCCAACTTTCATAGCCAACTTTCATACGATGGCAACGCCAACAACGCGACTACGACGACGAATTCTCCACAGGCGTGGCAGTAAAGGACCTGAAGATGCCGTCCCTGCGCTTCAGCTCCGCCGTGAAATAGTCGTTCAATTTTTCGGCAATTTGCTGCCTGGCCACGCTCTTTGACATGGCTCCCTCGACATGACCTATATCATCAGGCATTCGACCACCATTTACAAAGACAGGTTTTCCGTTAAAACTCCCTGGCTTGTTTGGGTCTTCTTCAATATCATATTTGGGAACTCCAAAATTAAGGCGTTTTGCGTCCTCGGCAACTTGCTTTAGTAGGGAAGGCACTTCGCCAGTGTAGAACTCCCCGTCTACGATAGCTGATACGCCTTGAAGATCATCTGTAGGCTTCTCCTGGGCCGCTGTCTCGGCACTTGGTGGTGGTGGTGGTGGTGGTTGTACTAGAGGCGCACCGCCAGCGTCTCCTGGAGGCATGGCCAGTGAGCTGTCACTTGCCTTTGGGCTTTTCGACACGGGAGGAGTGGCCGCTTTGAGGGAAACGCCACCAGAGACTCGATTAGAACTTGGTGCCGGGGCTGGTGCTGCTGTAGATGCTACTATAGTTGGCAGCGGTGGTCTCATAGCCCGAAGGTATGCCAATGCGTGCATGGCAGCATATTGTTTAGATGCCTGCGAAGAAGCGTGATTGTCAGCTCTCGGTACTACTCTCAGAAGGCAGGTATCTAAACAAAGAGAGCATTGGCAAACCTTCTTTGTTGCGAACAACGGTGGCTGTTGGCCTTGAGATACGCCATGGCCCTCGCAAGGGAAAATCATGTGGCTAGCAGAGGGCAGAGAGCATGTTGTCCTCCACCGCATATGGAAATTGCCATTGATGGGGACTTCTAACCCGACATCTTCAAATGTTGGGAGATGCGAAGAAGCGTCCCTCTTGTGATGAAATTGAATGTGCTCTACGTCAATACGAAATCAGCCACCGACTCTTATTCCACGGCTTGTCTGCTGGGGGAGATGCTCACGAGTGAGAAGGCTCACGTGGTCGTGGGCACTGACATCCGGCTCAGGTCCCTCCACGAAGCTCACAAGATGGGAGAGCGCCTGCAGTTGTGGCTTTGTTGGGGGATTCGGGTTGTTGCCTTGCTGCTCTGCCTTCTCCTGGGCCTCGATCCAGAGTTTGATCCGGGCCCATGGCACAGGGCAGCTTTTCGTGGCCATGATGATGTTGTCTCTGCTTTCCTTGGCAGTCGACTCGATGAGAGAGGACAAGGCAGAATGGAAAAGGGCCGAAGACGAAGCCGACGGGCGTTGCTGGGCCGCTATCAGCCGGGAATTGCTGTTGCGAGTGCGAGCGCGGATTTGGCTATGATTTACAACGGCGTGGTGTTGAGTGCGACTGCGAGTGCGGCTGCGCCTTGAAAGTATAGCTCTGCGGCCCGGTGTGCTCGATGAAGGAAAGGACGCGCCGGAGACGGGAGGGCGAGGCTGTCGGCGCATAATAAATAGGCAATCAACCAGGAGAAGAGAGGGAAAACGACGATGAAAAGCTGCGGTGCAAATGCAAATGGGCGCTGCGTTGGGTGCAAAAGCAAAAGCAAAGCACAGCCTTGCGGGCCTCCCGAGTTTACAACCTGAGTTATCGAAGCTCCGAGCTCAGCACCGCGATGATTGGCCTGGCCAAGTCAGAGCTGGTGAGGGGCATGCAGCCTGGGCCCCCCTGGTGCAAATCAGTGGCGCAATTAAACTCGATTCCTACAGGTTACAATTTACAAGGCAGAAGCTGGAAGATGCTCCGGACGCGGCCGTTGCAAGAGAGAAAAACGCCAAATGCTTGATGCTTGCATCTACCAAAATACATGTATATACAATATCGCGGCTTGCCTTGTAGAGGTAGTCCAAGGCGGATTGTCGACTACCTTTTAGCCTCATGACTAGCTCAAGTGAAGCATCAAATCTGCTTTACGAGTAGTACCTGTATGTACCCGTGTGTGCGTAAAGATACCTGCAGCCGGATGCCTTCTTGCTTCAGAGCCCTTCGAAAAAGCCCCCGTCTCCATTCTCGTCATCCTCATCATTGGTAGCCTCCTGGGCCTCCCGCATTAGCCTCCTCCTTTCTCTCCGGTTAAGCGCCTGTGATATGTCCTTGTTGTCATGCTTAGATGATGTGTCTGGTCCTTTACCCGGCCGCTGCTGTTGCTGCCCGCGAGCATGTTGTGAGGCGCCATTGTGTCGTCGTTCGGGCACACTTGACGGGGCTGTTGGCTGGGGCCTGATTGGTGGCTGTGTATCATCAATCTTGCCCGTATCGTCTGGTGATCTTCGGTCCCGAAGCTGCTCCAATGCGGGAGGCCCTTCGGCCAGGGCTCTTTCGATGACTGCCCACATTGGTGGCCTCTCTGCTTCTAGAGCTGCCTTTGCGGCTGCACGCTTGCTCTCTTCGGTTTCTTCTTCGTCGGGTGTCTTCTTGGCGGTGGAGCTGTATAGGCCGACGTACGTCTCGAGATGGGGAAAGTAGAGGGTGTATGCTTCATCCACTTCAGCGATGTGAAGGTCGTGCCGTAATTTTTCTGCCTTGTCTGCGTCGCTTTCCTGTTCAAGCTGTCGCTTCAGCTGCTTCACCAGCCTCGAGGCCTTCTTCCGCTCTAAGCGAGTTGTCAGTAATTCCAGCACTCTATAAGCCAACCAAACAGCCGCAGAGTTGGCCTGTAGGGCTCCACGCACCAAAGAATCGGACCATGTGATATTTGGATATCATTGTGCTGCGCTTCTTCTTGTATGCCTTGTCCATCATGATTTGCTTCTGCGACGCCAGTTCTCGCTCGAGGTCGATTCGCACATTGGCCGGCATGTCCTGGTTCCGTCGCAGGCTTCTCTCAATCGCCCTGATGCGCTTCTTGGCTCCCGAATCTTCCTGCGCCTGTCGCTTGCGGCCGACATACGACTTTTGCCTCTTTTCAGACGCCGCGCCGTGCGACTCTACCTCATCGTGCTGCCGTTTGGTGCCCATTGAGGGTGGTTTCTGCGTTGAGGGATCGTAGTCTTGGTGTTAAAGGGTGATGTCGAGTTTCCGTAAGAGTTCAATGAGAAATTAATGATAAGATTGACCCAGTAGATGCCCCTCTGACTCGATTTTCGATGCTTCGTGTCACCAGACAACTTTTTCAAATCTGGGCGCATGAATTAAAGGAAGCAAACCAGAGGGAAACTCCGTAATACTTTTTCTTATCTTATCTGGCAGAACGCCGAATCCAGTCTAGCGCCTAAGCACCAGTTGTCCAATCAGGGGCCGCCTGCTGCTTGTCTACTAGGTAGCTGCTTGTCCCGCCCAAAGCTAAAGAGCTGGTTTCCAGACAATTCAATGAGAAAGCCGCAGAGCTGATGAACCAAGTCAGGGCTGTTCTTCTGATTCCTATTTTCTCTCCTGCATCATTGATAACTTATTCTCTTACAAAAACACCACTCCAGAGACTTTGATATCACGGGATGCAATTTAGGACAATCTCGATCCCGTCTACTGTCCAACATCAGGCCATGGCTAGAAGCAGAACGTCATCAGTGTTATGCGTTTGAGTCAACTCGCCGCCACAGGAATCTACCGACGACCTGACACAGCTCAAAGCTGCTACTAGTGGGAATTGTGATTCGATCTAGTTCTAGAGAAAACTTCGTGTATTTGGACCCTACACTCGGCCTTTGCGACGACACCAGTGGTCGATGAATCGTCCTTGCCGACGCAACACCAAAGATGGATCGCCCCGAGCCAGGACTCGTCAAGTGGTCTCCCAATGCCTCAATCGACAGTTTTGTGCATATCAACCTGCAGCATCGTGTTGTTCAGCTCTATGAGCCCACTGGCCACGCACGCGCCGGGAGGTTTGACTATACCAAGGTCAGCAGGCACGATGACTTTCCTCCTCTCACGACGTATGACTGGTCTCCCGAGAATCCAAATCTGCTAGCTGTCGGTACCGGCGCCGGAATCGTGAATCTTTTGAGGATAGACGATAGCTCCAATGCATATGTCGAGCTGGGGCTCAAAATGGCGCGGACTTGCCAAGCCGTTTCCTTCAACACGACTGGCCTTTTGGCCGTAGGTTTGGACCGTGTTCGAATGGACCAAAGTCTACAAGTGTGGGATGTCCACCGTCTGTCGTCCGTGACATCCGCAGGGAAAGGTTTCCCTGATCATTGGGGCACTCTTGCGGAACCCAAGAGAGTTGAGCCCAGTGTATCGGTTTCAAGCATCAAGTTCTTTGAAGATAGTCCCCAAGTACTAGCAGCGGGCATCAAGGGCCAGGGAGTCAGGATACACGATCTTCGTGGTAAGTACAAGGGCAATTTTGGGGGGTTCCGAGACTTGAGCTGTTCATGCTATCTGTTGCTTGGCTGAAAAGATGCTTACTATCGACCCAAGATCCGACTGGCGTCCTTACTTTTCATACCAAGTGTAATAATAACCTAGCCATCGACTACGCCGATCAAAACTACTTTGCATCCTCAGCTCTGGACCATCCTGGAGTCATGATATGGGATCGAAGAGCAACCTCTCGCCCCGTAGCCTCTCATACCTACGCCCAAGCTGTTGAAGAAGATGAGCTGCCATGGGGCGGTGCCTTGCGCCTTGACACAGTTGTTGATACCGATTCCGAGTCCTCCATGGCCGAGGATAAGCACGCTCTCATTCGTTCCCTTCGTTATTGCCGTGACCATCGCGGTCTTCTAGCCGTTTTATCACGTACTGGTCAGCTCAAGGTCCTGGAAACTAACAAAGAACTCCCATCGTCAGACGCCGTCCCTCACGAGGGCCCTGAGCTGCTCAAGGTACAGCGATCTCATGAAATGGATGTCTCATACCGCGACAACTCTAGGAAGAATGACAGAATTGTGTCGTTTGATTGGGTGACGTTGGGCTCACCAGCATTGCGACCTAGACTTTTGGTCTTGCGAGCAAATGGGGGATTTGATATCTTGGAGCAGTCCTCTCGCACAGCCGATCATATTTTCAAGCTTGTGCCTTGGCAAGCCCCCCATCGCGGCCTTGAAGGTACTCGGCACACTCCGATGTGTAAATTTTCACTCCAAATGTACTAACTTGACATCAGAGAATACACCGTACCAAGATTTAATGCGTTTTGAGGCCACACAGGCTCCAAAGATGCTCGCCCCAATCATCATTGAGAAAAATTTGTCCGATGTTTCAATATTTGGACCGGACAAGGTGAATGTTGAGGCAAGCATTGAGAAGGCTCTAGACCCCAAAACACCAATTTCAATTGCTGTCAAGGCTGTGGGTGAGATCTCTGCGCCTTTGCCCGAGTCTTTCGAAAAGGCCGAGACGATTGCAGAAAAACTTCGCAGTCTTCGCAACTATGTACGCGATGAGAGCTCTCTTCCCGACTCGCCTGATGAGGGCAGGCCGCATGCCAGCGATGTAAGGCGGCTAGGTAATGGTAGACCTGGCTCCGCATCCATCAGCTCCAACGGGATTGGCTCTTGTAGAGAAATCCATGAAGCACTTCTAGGTACTCTTTCATCTTCATCTGGGCTTCCCAAAGCAGCACAAGCTGTGGTGGATCATGTTAAGCTCTTTCGTGCCAAGGAGAGATATCTGTTCGATGCTGTCACCAATAGGAATGTGACATCAGATGACCCTTGGAAGAGGTTTGTCTGGGATTGGATTGGCGGTGAGTTTGCCAAGATGTGCTCTTCTATTTTAAACGTCAACTGGCTAAGTATATTCCAGATGCGGAGCGAGCCGCGGATGATGGCGGTTTAATGCTCTCTCACGTAGATCTCAGTTACTTGGGAGTGCATGCAATATGGACAAACAATCTCGGTGAGCAGCATCATTTGAACAGGTGTCGAATATTTGCCAATCTAACAGGGGTTTGTCTCTTCAAATAGGCCGAAATCCAACATCTCGCCTGTCTCCAGGTGCCCACGTTCCCGATGCCTATACCTGGGAGCGTTCCATTGGGGCATATTGCAAGAAGCGTCAATTGCCCAAGTTTGACGGCGTGGCGACGAGAAAGCCTCACCATCGCCAGCTATGCCTTGAAATATGCGGCTGGGGCGATGACCAGAACCATGACCCAAGCGGCCTGGATCGGGAAGCCGACCCGGAATATCCAGCCGGCATTCATACAACGGCAGCCTCCCGAGCTCTCTTCAGGGGTGACACACAACTGGCTGTGGAGATCTTGAAGGAGGCCAGCCCATCGCATCCTGAACTGCTCTTTGTTTCATTGGCTCTGCAGCTCATAGGCCGGGAGGGTAATCAGCTTCCTAAAGAGAAATTGGACATTGACGAGGCAGTTGCGTCAAAGACGGATCCGTATCTTCGGGCGATATCATCCCTGATAGCCACTGGCGACTGGACCATCATAGCTAACCAGTCTTCCTTGCCCCTTGCAGATAGAGCTTACGTTGCGTTTCGCAACTTCACTGATGACCAGCTTACGGCCTGGCTGAACGAGCAAGTCTCCCGCGCCGTGAAGGAGGGAGACATCGAAGCCATCTGTCTGACTGGCATCACCGACACTATGGTGGACATCTTTGCGCGCTACGTGGAAAAGTTCAACGACTTCCAGACAGCCACGCTCGTCATGTCCATCTGCGCTCCTCGGTACATTGACGACATCCGCTGCCGAGCATGGCGCAACGCATATCGCGCCTATCTCCAGCGCCATCGCTTCTTCTTCCAGCGGACAAAGTTCGAGGTCGAGTCCACCAAACGCTCCAAGCGCGATGGCGTCCCTGCGCTCAAGCCGTCGTCGCGCCAGATCGCCCTCCGCTGCGTCTACTGCGACGCCAGCACGTCTCTCGCCAACCATCACAACGCAGCGCCCGTGGTGCCTTCGTCCACCATGGAGACGCGCAACCCCATGCTCGCAACCAGCATCAACTCTGGCGTCAGCTGTCCCAATTGCGGGAGGCATCTCCCTCGCTGCATTCTCTGCTACGAGGTTGTCGGCGTGCCGCGCTCGGACAGGCCAGAGGAGAGGGAGGAGACTCGCATGGCCAGCAGGTTTCCAACGTTTTGCCTCCGCTGCGAGCATGTGTTGCACTTGGATCACGCGAGGGAATGGTTTGCGAGACACGCCGAGTGTCCGGTGCCAGAATGTCGCTGCCGCTGTAGTTTCAGGGCCAATCCGGAGTTGAACTATCATTAAAGGTGATGGCTACGGGCAATGCCTCTATATAACCGCCAGAAGGACTCCTATGTCGCAGCTAGCATTACCAAGTACCATACCAAGTCGACCGATACCATCATGGGCTCTCCAAAAAATTCCACCAGGCTCCGTTCTGGAAAGGGGGCCATGCGGCTAGTTAGAGACAGGCGTTCATTGTAATTGGGTTGTGTATGTATAAATATATAATATTCAGGTTTGCTTTATTTAGGTAGTTTATTGCTATGATTCGCGCTCTTGAATGCCAAATAACATGAAACCGGCCATTCTTTTTTTTAAAAAAAAAAAAATCAAGAAAAGATAGTGAGAGAAAAGAAAGAAAGAAATAGGAAGGATAAAGTAAAAGAGACAGCACCAAATCTCGTCCACGCGCCCAAACAGACCGCATGATGAACAAAACTCCTCACCCCGTTGAACCATGCACCCCCATAACATAACCACCCAGCCTTGTCCCAGTCAAAAAGACGTCCAGTCCTCCCCAGGTTTCGTCGCTTATGATCAAGTGCGTATTATTTGCCGTAGTCGCCATTCCATGAGGACATCTCGCGTTGTATGTATCGTCTCCGTTATTCTCACTTAGCCAACGATGCTGCTCTGCTCCCCCCTCCACCTCTTCCAGTAAAAACATGTATCACTTCATGGGTATCATGGCCAAAGATGTATAGTGGCTCTTGGTGACCTTCCAAGGTCTATGTCCGCGCCCCCAATCCACCAAATATATGTATATCTGCTCTCGTCTCCCTGTTTCTATTTGGCTTTATGTGCCTTACACCACGGGTGATCCAGCACCTGTTCTATGGAATACCGCTGAGCAACGTCTCGGTTCAACATACAGCGGATTAGATCGATGCTGTCCTCGCTGATTATGAAGGGGATACGGAGGTCTCGGTCCATAATCTCGTCAATACTGTAGAAAGGGTTCTCCTTGTAGACGATGGTGTACAAGAGGATGCCGAGAGCCCAAACGTCCTGCTCTTTGCCGCCATAAGGCTTCCCGGCTAGGACTTCCGGTGCGGCATAATCTAGAGGTGGTTGCGTCAGCATTCACTCGAGGAGATATTAAAGGAAGCATCGGCATGGTAAAGGGAAAGAGAAGAAAAAACTTACCAATTGTGCCCACAAACACATCAAAGGGGCCGCTCTTGATGTATGCCGCGCTGCCGAAATCGATGAGTTTGATGTTTCCCTCGCCGTCCAGAATCACGTTTTCGTCTTTGATGTCACGGTGAACGACCTGGGCTTTCGTGTGTAAGAAGTGGACGGCGTGCGCAACCTGCACAAAAATGCTCCGGCATTCAGACTCTTCCATGTTGGCGCGGAGCTCAATGTAATCGAACAAATCCATGCCAGGGAGGCCGTGTGGAGCCATCTCAATGTAGTAGTTCACGTCGTCCTCAAAGAAGCCTTCCATCTCTACAATGTTGGGGTGTCGGAACTCGGGTTTTCGTAGGTAGTTCAAGACGTGGATTTCCAGGGGGACAGTTCCGAGTTTCCTGTCCCGAGTCCAGGTATCGACGAGAATACGACGCTTAGTCACATATTTCAACACTACTTTCCTGCCTGTCTTCTTGTGCCTCGCAAGTTTCACTTGGCCGTAAGCTCCTTGGCCCATGTCTTCGAGGATGGTATAATCATCAATGGTAGTTTTGCGCTCGGGCTCATCTTCCCCAGTCTTCTCTGGCTTCGGGGTTTCCTTTGGTGGCTCTGGTTTGGCTTGTCCAGTAAGTTTTGCGGCAGCATCAAGTGCAGCGTCCTTGATCTGCTTGGGGATAGAGGTGGCTATCGCCATGATGGGTTGCTTGACAGACTCGACCTTGGGTTCATCAGAGTCCGAAGGTATCTCCATGGGGGTGTGTGCAGGAGTTTGGCCGGGAGAGGGTTGATGAGGCGGCGTTATAACCGCTGAGTGATTGGGAGATTCTATATTTAAGTGCAAAGACGATGTGTGCAGGTGTCGTGAATACGTAATCCACAGAGCAAACACCAGCTCTGATTGAGAAACAGATCCTCGCGCGTCGTGTCCTTCAGTCGTGTCCGAGTCGCTTTCTTCGATGATGTCGACGTGCTTTTCACTCTCCACAACGCGCATCTGCACGTCAATTTTCAATTCAGAACCGTCTCGGTGTTTTGCCGGTATGCCTTCGGGTTGTAAAAAGGCGGCGGCAGCGTTAGGACGTTGTTCTTTCAAGGCAAAAAAGGCGGCTGCTCTGCGGAATCTGTGCTCTGGGACTACCATGCCATCTAGCAGCTGAAGGCCGTCTTCCTCGGTGAGTGTGGCAAGGATCTTGTCAAAGTCGGGGATGAGAGAATATATAGGCATGCCATCAGGCTTTTCGTAACCAAACAAAGCCCCGGAGAAGACAGAGTTTGAGCTACGAATCTTCAATGTTTCCGGCTCCACGACAACAATACCAGCCATGTGAGGGAAAGTTGAGACACGCAACTCTAATTTCCCACGAACTTGCTCAATGGCGCATGGAACATTGGACTTGTGAGAGTTGGGACACGTAAAGTACCGCCTTCGGCTTGTCTGTGCAAAGTCGATCTCGCCCTCGTTGGGATCAATGCCCTGGCGCGGTATCCGTGGAATGAGTTTGGCCACGTCAAACCCTGATTTTGGTGTTTTGAAGCCCCAGATTGGCTCGGTTGCCCCCGTAACAGACTGTACGATACCTTCTTCATCCAACACTATCTGCGCCACATCCTCATGAATTTCCTCGAGCACCCAGATCAAGCCCACGCGCTTCTCCTTGACCCAGAGACTTGCTGATCCGGTGGCGCCATTACGCTTCTGAATGGGAACTACATCGCCGCACAGCAAGACACCGCGTGAGAGGTTGTTGCGGTGGTGGCCGCTAGTACGTGTACTTGGTGGGTTTGGATCTCCGCTGTGAACAGTCTGGGCGCGCCTTGGGGATGCCACTTGAGACGGCGGTGTTCTCGAGTTGGGCTTGTTGAGGAGCTGAGCAGTGATTCCGGATCTGCCACCCAGCAAGGCAGACGCGGCCGAAACAGCAGGAGTGGCGTTGTCACTATCCTCGTCCAGATCTTGGTCACTCAGCTGCAAAAGCCTCCGTTCCAACCAAGACCTTCTCTCTTCTTGTACAACCTCCAGAATGCCCATTTTCCGAACTTCGGCTTTTGTGACACCAAAAACTAGACAGGCCAGATCGTTGGCCGCTAAAATGGTCCAAGGTGGCTTCGCCTCCGTCGTGAAGATTGCCTGTGCAGCCGGCACCCATCTGTTCGTATGTCCGTGTACCGCAGGGCCAGTAGCAGCAGAGAAACTCTTCAATTGTGCGGCAGGCTGCGTCGTCGATCCCGGAGAAGCCAGCGGCTCTTCATACAGAGGCTCGCCAGTGAGAAAAGGTTGTGACATTGTATCCATCAGTTTATCTTGCAAGGCCATACTCAGAGTGTCAGTCATGGTCCGCTTCAAGTTGGTAGGCCTTGATGTGGGCGGTAGCGCCCTTGGAGCGCCTCCGACACCGCCAGCGGAAGCTCTACCCGAGTCTTTTAGTTTTAAGCCGGCATCATCAGTCGCAATATTAGATACATCAGCATGGTTAGCGGATATCGGCTCGTTATCGCGAACAGGCAACTCCTTTGAAGCTGTATATGTGACATCGGGTGGCACCAAATCCACGATGGACGCTCTCGGGCTGAACTGCTTCTCAAACACATTCTCAGCAGGTAGGCCAGCCGGCCCAGTCAATGGCGGAACGATGACGGCTGCAGGGTCTGGATTAGGCAAGTTTCCTGCGCCTATCACTTGCGCGCGTGCAAGGAATTCCAGCATGTGCTGCGCGTCGACATCGCCCGTAACCCTGGCCTGGGCGCTGGCAAGGCCGGCTTGGGTGGAAGTCATGGACAGGCCCATGCGGTCCTTCATGAACTCAAGGGAACGTTTGAGGACATTTTGGCGGTTGTGCAGAAAATCCTCCGATTGATGTGCGAAGGAGAAGGAGTGCAGAGATTCAGAGGGAAACCGCGACAAGTCTTCGGAGAAGCTGGGAGATGTGGGAGCTCCGGCGAAAGGCGTCGTCGTGTAGCTGCTCAGCATTGCAGTCATGGAGGTAGAGCGGGTGAGCGCAACAACGGAAGGGCTGCGTGAAGATGCATTCGAGCTGGGCAGGGTCGGTGCCCGGGAGGGAGGATGCTGCTGTCGTATACGGCGCAGGCCAGAGAGCCCCAAGCCGTGCTCGTGGTCGGTAATGGGAGATGGTCTGATCGGAGCGCGCGGTCAGCAAACAAAAGCGAGCTACCATGGCACAAGTCTGGTGCGGAACACGCCGCCGCCAAGGGACGAACCTGGTGATTGGGTCGTGGTCCAAGATGCCGGCCGACGAGGCTTCAAAGGACATTCGGTATCGACTGCGGTCGGACGGGTCAGCTGATAGATGCAGGTTTCCCGTGCTGCGGTTCTTGGGCAACGACAGAGGCTGCATGGTTCGGTCGTGGCCTCTGTCATCGTCCCTCGTGTTGCTCTCGGTGCCTGAAAAAAAAGGGACGGGCATCAGTCACGGCGTCTTGTCTACGGATTGGCTTCAATGTCCAAACATAACATACGGTTGTCTTGGGGGCCGCCATGTGTCTGAAGCATACTTGTAGACCTCAGTTCACGCGCCTCTCTAGTGGAGTGATGCACGAGCACGACGCAATTCGAAGCAGGGCCCGGGTGGCGAGGAGGCGTCAATCGAGCCTGGTCTCGCGAACAGTCGAATTCGGCTCAACCAGGCTTCAACTGGCGTTTGAGGTTGTGGGCAGGCCGATCGGAGTCCGTACGAGTACTAGGTACTAAGGTAGCTGGCGTCACGGAGAGTCGCTGCTGTCGGGGCTACGCGGATGCCGTGGGAAAAGCAAAGGATACGAGTCGGCAGCCGTGACAGGAGGGTTGGAGTGCAGCTCAGACGCCCAAGGCCGGTTTGCCGGTGCTGGAAGACGGGGATTTGCTACCACAAGGGAGAGAATTGAGGTCGGTT